CACACACGTGACAGTTTCTACATCCAATTTCCAAATATGCTGTTAATAAATGGCCAGTTTACGTGTTGCGATAGAACTGTTAGTCCTGAATGTAAAGTAAGGTTTGATACGGGGTCAGACACAAGAATCAGTGCTCAGCACACTCTTTCACTCAAATCAATTTCCTTTGATTTATTGTAGTTTAGTTTTATTGTACTACAACTGTCGGTAGCTTCAACCACGTGATTTACTATGCTCTAGATATCAACAATTTTCACTATTTCCAGATAAACTGTACGAAGATTACGAAATCTCGATACTACCAACCACATCCACGTCTTCGTCCCCACCATTATTGGTATCTGACTCTTCCTCCTCCAAATCAGCTTTGTTTATAGCTATCAACCGAATAAAAGCAACCCTCTTTCTCTTTTTATTATAAATGAACCAGAAATAGCTCCACATGGGCTGATAAGGGTACGCTATATCCTCAAATATAGAATCATTAGCTGGTTCAAACAGGTAAATACTGCAACTTTCTTGACCAACAGCTTTGGAGTTTGGCGGGGATCCTTGCCTACTACTGCCATTATTGACGCTATTCTTCCTATTTGTGCTGATTTCGGAATGATGTTCAATTGTTTCCGTATCCTGAGCAGCTAGGTATGGAGACGACGTTTTGGAAGGCAAAACTTCCATATATGAGTCAAGAATGTCCCACATCCAGTGTAGGACATCGCTTTTCTTGCCCAATGACATCAACAAGTTATCAAACTTAGTAAGCAAATCGGATACGGGGACCTTGATGAAGTCATGAGTAGGTTGAAGATCACTGAAATCTTGATCTGGAAAAGTATGGTTCAAGATCCCAATAAGGTAAGCAAACGTGCGTCTCGTTGTTGTGTTCTTCAAGGGACCAAATGGTGAATCATCAATGGCGTGCTCATCTTGTTGTTGTTCAGCATCATTGGAGAAACTGTCATCGGTTGCATTCAATGATTTCGAAAGCAAAGAGGCATTGGGTGTATGCTCAGGATCCTTAATGTCGGGAACCACTGATTTGTGGAACTGGATTTTCGTCAGCGTTGAGCTAGACCTTCGTTGTCTTTGCTGCTGCTGTGGGTGTTGTAGCTGCAGTTGCTCCTGTATTCGAACATCTTGAGGACTTCCACTAGTGCCGAATAGCGACGATATCGAATTCTGCCGTTCCTTCTCTAAAGACCGGGATATTATATTATCCTCAATTATCTGATCCAAATGTTTATCAATAGTTTTGAATAGTTTCCGATCCGATGCAATTGGCTTCGTAGTGAATAGCTCACATCCTCCTCTAATTTGCAACGAGTTATCAGCCAGGGTGAAATTTAGTTCTTGATTGACCAATTCAAGGTCAATCTCATCAATGTACTGATAAAAGTGTTAGTTAGTATATTGTTTATTGCAATGGGGGCGGGGATGAGGATGGGGGATGTGGGGAACAATTCAACCCCAGAACCCTACTTCCAACTTCCCCCTCACCTCCACCCCCCAGCGCTTGGAAGAACTTAAACGGTTATGACCGAGCCGGAGGAGTTCAATAAATGATATGATATTAGTACACACCTTCATGATTATTCTGTTCAGCACAAAAAGTGGTGAGTTATCTCCTAACTGTTTGTCTCAAAAGTGAATAAGTGATGATGATTATAGTTTTGGTTGTAGTTAGATGTTGATGTTACTTTGAGAGATTTGTTTATGTTTACTTTATACACGACCACGTTTTTCTTCTTCCGTTTTGCGTGTGCCCCCGCCGCTGTAGTTTTCGCGTACAAAGAGCGACAAAATTACCCTAATCGGGAGCAATCTGCAAGTAGGCACAGAATAACATCCATCGAAATAAATACACTCTTCTATTTGACAATACAAAAACAAAAACAGAAACAAAAAGAAAGAAAGAAAGTAAAAAGATGCCCCCCCCAACTCCGGCTGCGATCAGGCCTGCTTCAATCCTCCCTGACCAATTGTGAAGGCATAATTTTTGAACCTATCATTGCTCGCATTATGTGTACTCTGAACTACTTTGATGAACCGTTCAACTTGCCAACCTTTGATCAACAGAGAAACACTCGATTTGGGATCGACACTGGAACTAGTTGAAGATTTTGAGCCAGACAGTTGTTGTTGTTGTTGTTTTTGTTGCTGCAACAGCTTCTGTGACTGCTCTCTACTGCCAGTCGAGCCCAAGTTAAAACCCTCACAAAGCTGCGCATAGGATAATCCAGTTTCCAAATCCACTCCTCCATTGGCCTCATTCTCTTTAACCAATTCTTCTCTCGTCTTTAATTGGGGCTTGTAAGTCTTCATCAACATAATCCTATTTTGAATTCTTGTTGCCCACGGATACCCCATAGTGGGGACAATTCTCTTTGTACTCTTATTTTTCAACTCATGAGCCTTCCTTATCAAGTCTGCTTGACTTTCACGCAAATCGACAATTCTCTTCTTGTTCAATCGGGGATCTTCCTCCACAGGTACAGATCTGGTGCCGTTTTCATCGGTGACTTTTTGTCGCTTGTTTGAGGAAGAGACTGAATCAAATGACTTTTGTAATTCTAAATCCAACAATTCCAAATCTCGTTCATTCAATTGTACATGTGATGGAGGCAAGTATTTGAATATGGCTTTCGGGTCCCATCCAGACGCTATCGGAATCTGGAAGTCTAGATTTAAAGGATAAGACAAATCTTCATCGTCAATGATAGATTGCTTGGCCTTGGCGAAATCAGCGGTATGGTCACTAACTTGATTCACCACCACTATGGCAATATTAAACTCCCTAGCCAATCTAGTTAAATGACGGTACATCAAGCTTAGGTAATGTAACTTTGTTGACCTTGTTGCATATTTCGTAGTCTTGTTGCCCACCAACTTCATGTATCGATTCTTTGTTCGTCTTAGCTCCTGGAATTCCACATCGCCCTCGAGTTGCTGCGCTTGCTCTTCTATCTTGTCTTTTAGAAAATTGACATTTGACGTCGAATCCTCTCGTCTGAAATGATGGGCAATTGAATCAACAACAAGTAATTTAGTATGTGATTTGTCTTGTAGCAATTTTGTTGGCAACTGCGTGAATAAAATGTGATCTTGACTTTCCAAGTCAGGACAGTATATATAACGTATTTGGTCCAATTTTGTATCAATTTCCCGTCCATCCAAATCAGATTCAAACATATCTGCCAATCTTTTGGACTCCATAAATGTCTCAGTAGCAATATGAATCGGTTTACTATGAGGATACTGCATAACGCAGTTGCGGAGCAACTGGTAAAGAAACTGCGATTTCCCACACCCGCTGGCACCGAATACTTCCGTCACCTCACCAAAAGGGATTCCACCGCAGCTGCCACCGCCAACACCGCCAGAGTCACCACGCAATTCTTGATCTATAAATGGCAACCCAGTGGATATTGCTTCCTCTTCGTCGAACAAGCCGTCCACGTCGCTCGGTTGTATTACCAAATCATTCTGTAGTGCTTTGAAATATTGGAAAATCTCGCCGACTGGTCGGTTAATCAATTTGGCTAGTTCTGAATAATCGTCTGTGTCTTCGTAGTAGTGGATTAGATCTACAACAGATTTGCCGTAATTGCTTAATAAGCCGACTAGATATGGGAACTTGTGAGAACTTTGAAATCCACCCGAATCCAACTGTTTAAAATCATCCATGTAAACATATAGATAGCAAGTGGGTCAGGAAAGGGTCAAATTTTGCTGTTGTTGTTGTTGCTGTTCTGTTGCTGTTGCTGCTGCTGCTGCTGCTGCTGCTGTTCTGTTGTGGGTTTCGTCGCGACTCTCAGGTTTTTCTATTTTGTGTATGATGCGTCGCCACAATTCATACAACAGTTTTCCGGCTCCGGCTACTATGTATATTTCTAGCTGCAACTACAGAGATCTATGTAAAGAATCCCGGCGCTTTAGGAATCACGAAATTTCTAGACTTTGCTAACCAAACCACAAAGCTTGGGATAGAAAACCCGAAAACAGCCCCAACACCACCATCTCTACCAATAGGCACTAAAACAGTAGCCTTTGTTGGTTTCACATATGGAGCCAATTTGACACTCGAATCTCCAAATACCTCGCAAGAAACTGTCTTGGTGAATACTGGCTTTTGGTTGTACGTCAAATCAACTAGCGACTGCTGTCCTAAAGCAAGTATATCACCAAGACATATAACCTCGTGATGGTCACGCAACCGGAAAAATTCATCAGTTATCACATAGCTTCGCTTGTCCAACACTTCTTGTGGTAAATATTCAGTATTAGGTAATAATTTATATGCTTCAAGAATGACATCAAAGTCACGAGTGGTACCATCTTCAAGAGCAATTGTAGACTTGCCCTGTTTCTTAACGAGCTGGTTATTGACAATCTCAATGTTGAGTTTCTTCAACTTGTCAGTAACGGAGGAGACATGATTGGGCAATACCTTGGATAATGGTCCCAGTGAACCCGTATACAACACAATCTCTTTTCCACCCTTGAATTCATGTCCCAATTCACCAGCTGTTTCAACACCAGTAGTTCCACCACCAATTATAGCAATTGACTTTGCATTTTTGATCTGGGCACTGGCCTCTTTAATTGAGTCCAAAGTGTAATCAATATCTTTGATTGAATCAAGTTTCCAAATTGGCGAAACTGACCTAGCACCTGAAGCAAGAATCAAATTGTCATAGGTCAACTCAGATCCATCGGCAATTGTCACACTTTTCTTATTGAAATCAACTTGCGTCACACTCAGTTGTATGTGTATAGCTCTATGAATTGTTCCTTGGACCAAATTATTTATCGATTCACCAAGAGGAAACGCAATTTTCTCAATTGAGACATTCTCAATCAATAACCGTGGAACGCATATGTTGAAGAATGCCTTTTCGTTTGGCGCGACTACGGTGATATCTAATTTGACCGCCTTCGTGGCTGCTAGCAATGTCTTTAATGCCAATATCGCAGCATAAGACCCACCAACGATTATGACTTGTTTAGTGGATGACATTTTTTGCTTTTGCAGACGCAATTTGTGGGAATACGATTAGTGGAGTTTAGAAATGCGAATTGCTGACAAAAAAATCAATCATTTATAGCTTCAAGGTTCGTGCTGATGGATTTTATCTGAAATTACTAATTTTGAGGAGTAATAGAAAAACTAAGTTACAAGTTACAAGAACCTCGGACCGGAGAAGAGTCCCGAGAAATTTCACCGAATTTTGGTCGCACAAAAAAATACGGGAGCTGTAATCTTCGTAGTCAAGTAGTAAACCAAGTGGTGATAGATATGTTGTGATAATTTGAGTGATGGCTTTGATATGAGATTACTAATTTAGAGGAGTAATAGAAAAACTGAGTTACAAGTTGCAAGAACCTCGGACCGGAGAAGAGTCCCAATTGGGAAATATCATTTAACTACATCTGCCGATTCAGGTGGCATAAAAAAAAAAAATGAGGCCTCCTTAAAAATTCATTTACACTTATACAAACTAATGAGCACCAGAGATGAAGAACCACTTGTCAATAGACTTGTCAATTGGAGCAGCTTGAGCAGGAGCAGCAGCTGGAATTTCGACATTAGGTTCATAAGTGGCGGTTTTTGACAAGGTGGTGTTGACCAATTCAATTCCCTTTGAGTCAACACTTTGTCCAGCAATCAATTTTTCCCAAGCTTCGTGGGTTTCATTGATAACTTCCTCTGCGTATTTTTTGTTTTTACATTCACCACTGAATGCAAATTGATTTTCTGGTTTTCCATCTGGAATTTTGTAGATTCTGAACCATTCGTTAGTGGCCCTCAACAAACCTGGTAAATGAGTTTCAACATCTTCAATGTCGTTCAATTTTGGAGCCAATGGATCATTGACGTCAATAACAATGACCTTCCAGTCGGTTTCACCCTCATCCAAAAGAGCCATCACACCCAAAACTTTCACTTGCTTGACTTCACCAACAGTGGCGACTTTTTCACCAATTTCACAAACATCCAATGGATCGTTGTCACCCTTGGCTTTAGTTTCTGGATGAGAGACATTTGGATCTTCCCAGGTTTGTGGGAATGCACCGTAGTTGTGAATGTATCCGTGATGTGGGAAACAGTTACGGACAAATCTCAATTTGCCCTTTTTAGTATCTTGAATAATTGGGTTCAACTTGATATCCTTGGAGATTTCCAACTTGGCATTAGTCCATCTTGGAACTTCAACAACCATGTTGAGAATGGTTTTTTCTTCGTTGGCATACAATGGAATATCGTGGAATGGAGAAATTGGTTTCCCATTTTCTTCAAGGTAAACCTTATAATCTAAGGTGTTAGCAGCACCAATTTGACGGGTTTGGAAAGACATTTTTGATGTGTTCTACTGATTCAATGGAAGAATGAAAAAAAAAGAGACAAAAAAAAAGGCAGCAATTTGACGAAGTTGAAAAATTTGTTGAGACTCCTGAGCTTTTTTTTTTTTCTCTTTTTGTTTTGGTCTCTTTTTTTTTTTTTTTTTTTGCTTGGAATAGTTTTGTGTTGTGTGAGGCTTTTGCTTGGTTTCACGTGCCTCTCTGGGCTTTGCAAACCTTGTCGAGAATATATTGGTTGTAGTCTTCCGCAGAAACAACGTTCATTTCTGCCTTTTTGTACAAGTACAAGCCTCTTGTTAATTCTCTGGAGACTCGTGGCCCCAAATTACTTACCCAATGAGAAGCAAGGTTTGTCATGATTGAAATATCACGCGCTGTGATTGTCAAGTGGGAACCGGGACTCGAGTCAAGTAGATACATACCCGAGTACTGAATCTGGGAGACATTACTCTTGAACTGTTTGTATATGAGTATCCCGTGGGCATCGGAGTCGAAAAAACCTAAACTTGTTGTGCGATAAGTTTGTGTTAACCAAGTAGCAAAGCGTCGGGTCAAATTATCTGAGAACCCCTTCCCAGTAATTACAACAAATTTGTAGTCTAGTGTGCCAAGCTTGTTTTCCATAAATTTACTAAATGAGTGTAGGATTGCATCCTTTTCGACCACGATTAGCACTAATGAGCTTCCAAGAGGTATCGTAACATTGCATTTGAAGTAATTACAGTAGTCAATGGGGATTAACGTGGGCTCATCCATTTGTTTAAAAATGTTTCCATACATCAACCCTTTTTGAGCTGGGTGGATATTAAAGTCTTGGATCAAAGACCACCCTAGACCATCCTCAACCAAACCAGTGAGCAGTTTCCTACATTCTTCTTGGTCCTTGTTGAAGATTTCCACATCCTTATAGTATATGTCTCTAATCGTTGTAGTCTTGTTTTGTATTAGGTTTGTTTTCAAAACTTTGATCAACTTGATGATGGCTGCAAGTTTGACGCAATCTGTTTCGAAAATTGACGGCGTGGTAAACAGACTAAGCTTTCTATGGGCGTGAGACTCACCTAAGTTCTGAGACACAACAAGTGAGATGTTTTCTTGACTTTCAAATGCAAACATAAGCTGCTGCCAAATGTGATTAAGTACTTCGAGCTTAGAGCTAATTATGCAGTTAATAGCTAAAGAGATTCCAGAAAGTAAAAATTCGACCCCCTTTTTTTTTTTTTCTTTTTTGGGACATACCTTGATGAATCATTCTTCACTTCAATTACCCTTGTATATGTATTCATTACTTCATGCTCTTGAGTGAGTACGGCCTTGATCTTTTAAGTGTAAGTGTGAAACAGCACTGTGTGTGTCTATTTTGGTTGCAAAGAGATCGGCTGTGCGTCTTAAGGTATCTTGCGTCAGAAAGGAGAAATCGAACCTTATTGGATTCATAATAACATGGAGTGTGAAGGGGGATGGGGCAGTGTTAACTTCGCAACCCAATACTGGTACTGTCAGTTTCCTTTTGATTGTGCGTCCTCTGTCTCTAGCAATACTAGAGATCGGAAACCTGAGTATAAGAATAGTTGGTATCGGATACAGATTTGTGTTTGTGTGTGTGTCTTTTCCGTCTTGTAGTCGGCCCAATTAGCCCAGCCTCTCTTGACATTATAAAATATTAACCATTCAGCTACAGATAATCTTAACCTACTTTTGTGCATATACGACACACACTTCTATCTCGCCTCTAGACATTATGTCTTACATTGTCTGTATATATATATATATATATATGTAGAGAGAAAGAGAGAGAACGTGTGTCACAGGTGTACAATAATATCTTATTGTTGAATGATTTGTAATAACCGAAAGAAAAACAATTAAATTTTATTTTTATTTTTATTAATATTCACAACACTCATTCATTTATTAGTTCATAATAGTTACAGATCCGGTAACTATATTTGCTATCACTTTATAGCCTCGCTACTCAGTAACCATTAGCAGACACATCTCAGGTACTGCTTCCGTTGATCAGAAACCAACTAGTACATCTTCACTTTACGAATTTGCACAGTTTCTCCTTTTCAAACGACGTCATTTTCTATTTGCGCAACTAAGCCCAGTCAACACCACCCTCCCCGCCACCATTTATACAACAGCACACCAACCACCGAATAAGTATAATGCCGTATATCCTCAAAGACATAACTGAAATAAACAACATCGCATTCAAGCGTGATTGGGATGATGATTATTGGAGCGGATCTGATGGAGCCAGATGGGCTTTCTTTGCCATATTTGCTGTTTTGATCATTATTGTGGTATTGGGTACCATTAGAGTCAACAAGAAAAGAGCCCAACATGGAGAACAACCAATCTATGGAACTAGATGGCTTACTCCACCGTCATACAGACAGTCTCAAACACAATACCATCAACCAGATCATATTAGAGATCCCGATTTGCCCAGTGCTTATGTACCCACGTATACAGCTACTGCAAATGAGTTTGACATGGGTTATTATGACTCAAATGGGACCTTCCATCCCAACCCAAATGCAAAACTGGCGTTGCAACACCCTCCGGAAACACATCAAAGAACCGGGAGTGCAATCACGTCGCATACAATTACCGGGGCTACGCCTTTATCGCCGACTTTAAACCAAAACCCTCGAACCGACTCACCGCTGCACGAAGCCCATACCAACTACACCAATGACAATGATGATGACCTTGCTGATATAAGCAGACCCGTGGGACCTCCACCAAGAAGGAATACAACCACTACTTTATCAAATATATCAAGACCAGAGGGCCCACCACCACTGTCACGGACTACGAATACCGAGCCACACGGAGAGAACACCACGAATCATGCAACTAGCACAGCAGGAACTGCTGCAACTGAAAATGTACTTGATGTTCCACTGCCTTCCTCGTCATCGAAGCAAGAAACAGAGGCGAGTGAGACTACCATTGAAAAGAAACGGTGAAAAATAAGGCGATTTTTCAGCATTGTATATTAATTCATAGCTAGTTATTTTGTAATTTTAATGTCATTTAATTTTGATTAGTAAAGAATGGCTCTGCAATGAGCTTGTCAAATCACTGCATTAGCTACAAATCTAACGCACACTACATTTGAAACTAGAACAAATCAATCTTAATTCATAAAACTCGGTCTTCTTATGACATGAAATCAAAAATGGAACCCATGTTGACGTATCTACGTCCGCACTCTTCAAGATACTTCAGTATCACGTCTTGACAGTATCCAAACAACTCTTTATTTTGTTCCACCAAGGCATCAATTTGTCCCTGGGCAATCTTTTGCTGCTCTTCGCCACTCGTCGCCTCTAGGGCATCAACAATTGGTCTCAACTTGCCCGCTTTTGTCTTTTCAGCATCAAAGATTGAATTGAAATACAACAACTGATTGTATAAGGCCTTATCAGTGTACTTGTACCGCATCACCCCTCGACAGTCCAATCCTTTACCTGAAGCTCCAATGCATCGTTTCCCATACACAGAGATTTGCCTTGTTTGAATACCACATGACGTATCATCGCAAACCAACCAACCACAATAGTATAAGGCAATGTGTTGCCGTATGGTTGATTCAAGTTGCGCAGTGAGTTTGATTATGGGGAAAGTGTAGTCACATTTTTTACAAGTGACACCATTGAATGTAACTTGGTAATCGTTTGACGATTGAATTCCACCAAATCTGAATGCATGTCCACAATTGCACCTCAAAACTAAATAACTGGATTGTCTAAATCTCTCATCATCGGAAATATTGGACTCAATTGAGGTGATTTCTCCGTTGAAGCCTTCATTCTTCACCTTGAGGATATAGCGCTTAGTATCAATACCCAAGCTTGTGGCCACGCGCATCATATCAACAGAGTCGATTTTATCCAACAATCTTTCAACGGGAGCAAAAATTTGCTTCTCGAGATAAAACATTGGGTCTGGCTTCAAATCCAGCTTCTTGGATAACAACTCTTGTATTGCTCTTGCCCTCTCAGCAGTTGTAGACTTGTCAGATTCGTCAAAGGGTGCAGTAACAACGTAGGATATGACACTACCGGCCTTGATAACTTTTCCTTCCTTTTTCAAACGAAGAGCAACCTGTACTTGAGGCATTGTCTTCCCGTTGGGGTAGCTATTTGGGTCTTTTGAAAGTTTAGTGTTGATCTTAAACTTGTCAACAGATATTTCATGTCCCTGGATCTTGTCCCGCATCTCTTCCAAATACACGTAAACATCCTGCAACGCTTCTTCAGGATCTGACTCCGACAAAATTTTCATCAATACATATGTCGAGATATCTTTGGAGAGTTGACAGTATTCACGTCTTCTCATATCCAATCCCTTAACCTCCAATGCTGTCATTTCTTCACCAGTAGCCTTGTTTATTGACACATTCATCGCAGCATACTTCTTCTTGGTATGCAATAACAAACGCTTGAACACATTGTCAATGTCAATCTCCAACATCCTGTACCGCTCATTTACCTGCACCTTAAACTCTTCTCCAATTTTTATCGCCTCTTTCAAGCTTTGAGCACCGGTATCTATCATAACCGAATCAGTATCACCGTAAACGACCCTCAATCCCGTTGACTCGGCAAGTTGTCTCGTATCCATTAAAATTTCACGACCTTTATTCGTAACCAACATAGCCAAAGGCTTGGCATAGAACCGGGAGTTCACGTAACCTAAACAACCATACATGGAATTAGCTGTCAACTTCAATGCTTGTTGTTTAATGTCATACTGAGCTTTTTGGAAAGGTGTGTTTTTCGGATCCTTCAAAAGCTTCTTCACTTCTCGACGACGAGTGACTAAAGTGTTCAACAATCGTGGCAAAACTCCCGTCTCTGAATCATTTTCTGGGATCACCGGCATATCCTTATCTTCATTATGCGTGATATTGAATCTATCCCTCGCAACAGTGGTGAAACAAATGTTATATTCCTGAATGATACTAGGATACAACGAGTTGAAATCCATAACCAAAATGTAATTCTTGTGCAACCCCTTTTCTGGCTCAAAAACCAATCCACCTTGATACTTGGGCTTTTTGTTTGATGTAGCAGTCTGTACGTCTTCCTCGGCATTTTCCAATTGGGCTTCTTGTTGAAAAGATGTGTTTTTATGAGTTGAATCCTCTTTATCGGGCACAATGTAGTTGTTTCTCCTAAATTCGTGCAACAAAATGTATTCATTTCGACCGGCTCTGGTACCGCTTAAAGTATGACTCCAAGCATTTCCAGCAATGTTGGTCAACTGTTTCGACAACGAAAGAATTTGAATGGCAAATGCAACTTCACTGGCAATTTTCACATTAACTTCATTCTCTCGCAATGCAAGCATGAATAGTGTTGCGTCTTCTGAGAATTTCGAATTTTGATAATTGATGTCCATTGCATTATGCTTTTTGTGGCACACCACTTCATACATCTCAACCAAATCCCACGATTGACACTTGGTGGTTAATGACTGTCCCATTTCATTGGCAATGTCGCACAATAATCTTCCCCGGAAGACCTCACGAATGAGCAAGTTATTGTTAAAGCCCGACCCTTGATTGTTGATAGAATGTGGCCATTGCTTCCTATTTCTGCGACCCAATGCTGACCAGGTAGTCACTTTATGATCATGCATTCGATGCACCAAAACATCTAAAGAAATATTTTCCAACCTATGTCCAATAAATATATCGGGATCAACAGATTTGATTTTTGCAGCAACCGCATTGAGCAAAACCTTTTCATTGGGACATGTGCGTAATGAGAACTGCTCCTTACTTGCCAATTGCGCAATCCCCGGTGGAAACGAAACCATGCCAACGGGCCTGGCAAATGTAATTACGTCGTCAGGCTTCAAATCTTCAGGAATGGGAGCATCTTGAGGCAAATTGAAATAAGTTGCTAAAGACACGGAAACAACCTCTTGCTTATTTTGTTTTGGGTTCATCACAGTTTGCACGGATATCGAGGTGCATGTCAAATTGGGAGCTGCTGGGGGAGATTTGTCAACAACGCTTATCTTCCCTGGCAGTGCAACAGCAACTTCAATTTGACAGTGTGACGAGTTTTGAATAGCGGTAAAATCTCCCCCTTGAATATCTAGCCAACATGGACCCATGATATTTCTCTGTGTGACAAAAGACTCAAACATGTTTGCATTGGTTCCAAATATGTGACTAAAGGTCTCGCCCTCGGTGTCCGAGGGGAGGACCCTTTTATTTGTATCGTTATTATAAGGCAATAATACTTTCAAATATTCTGCTTCCTTGGGTATAGTAGCCAACTCAAAAGCATACTTTTTAGTCTCTGTTTTTGCCCTTAGAGCTTCCAAATGATAATATTTCATAAAAATCGGGGTGATCTCTTTAAGGACCTCGTCTGTGGAAAATCTTTGGTTATCCCCTGCTTCTTTGTTTTCTTTAGGTAATATATATAACTCACGACAAAGCCCATTGACTTGAACCACACCCGAAGCCAATTTACCATCCTTGGTTTGAATCTTTCCAAAAAGTAACAATGAATTGTCGAGCTCAGCATAGTCCATCCAAAACATTTTAAAAGACCCGGTTTCGCTGCTCACGGTCAGTTCATCCAATTTTTCTGTGTGATTTGCAAATGCAGTGTAAGGAGGTCTTGATGGCGACGACGAGATCGCACCAGTTTTGACTGAGGAGACAGTTGTTGCTTTGGTTTCCCTTTTAACGACTGCTGTTTTTGGTCTTTTAGCAAAAATAACATCATCATCATCATCATTGGAATCGCTTTCTTGTTCGGAAGTTGCTTTCTCTGCCTTCACTTCTTTCCCAGGAGACGAGGCAGGGTCGACGTTCTCCTTTTCCTGGACCGCTAAATCACTGGCAATGGTCGTCACTGGAGATGAAGGTTGTTCAACATCATCAAAGTCCATGGTATAGTCCGAAGATGCATTGAATGCTTCGACTGGTGGCGCCTTCTTTTCTTTAGCGATAGTGGAGAACGTAAAGGACGTGCTTGGCTTCTTCTTTTTGTTGTTGGTATTGCTTTTCTTGAAATTGGCAAACGATTTGGCCATGCTGAATTTCTTCTGTGGCACGTCTTCAAAACCTTCAAGGATGTCGTCAATATTCATATCCACCTTCTTGATGTCGTTATTCCTGGAAGTAGTTGACTTGAAAAAGTTGTTTATTGGTGCTGTCTTTGCAACTTTGGCGGGTCTCTGACCCTCCTTCGTCTTGCGCCTCTTCTTGCTTGAATCAATATCCTCTTCATCAGAATAGTAGTTAGGACGCGAGGAGTCGTCCCATTCGTCAGCACCATTATCAACATATCCTTCTCCATTGTCATCGACAATGAAATCATCATTCATTAATTGATGTCTTTTGTGTTCTCTGAAAGTCTCTTCGTCCACTTCATCATATATCTCATTCAAGTTAGATTCATCGTCATCAGAATCTAGCACAACTCTTCCTCCGGTTTTCCTAGCTTCCCGTAGCAAGCGCAACTTCTCTCTCTTTGCAGCCTTTGTCAGCATGCTTTGGAAACGGTTTTTTCTTTTTTTTTTTTACTGGGGAAGGACGGTAAAGGTGATTCGTGTGTATGGTAACCAACAGAAGCAGTATTGGACAGCTGCACCAATTTGGAATAAACAAAACAGTTTTAAAAAATCAAACGCAGGGCAAAGAAACAGAAAAAAGAAAAAATAGAAAACCTCCACAGACGTGTCTTTGTGAAAGATTGAAGCGCGTAACAAGCTCTACAACCAATTGTACATAAAGTATTAGCGATAATTAATACGAGAAAGGAAACAGCCTACGTAGATATAAATCCCTCCCCTCCAAACTGCACTACCCTGTAATCAATTCTTTCGGAATCAATCCTTGCGCAACTCTCTGTACAATTGTTCCACCAAATTCAATTATGATCAGTGGGTCACCCAACAACTGCCTAACAAGATCCCAGATCAAATTAGACTCCTTCAAAGCTGCAAGTAAATCACTTAATGTAAGTGCATGGGATTGCAAAATCAGAACGAGGAAATGAGCGTTGGGAGAGGCCAATGCCGGTGTAGTCAACAAGTGCTTTACTACGGAAACAGCCAAACCCGAATCTCTCAACGACAAAAATAACTGATCCAACAACGCATTCTCCCGCTTACTCAAATGGTCCACCGTTGAGTTAAATGGTTGAACCGGTTCGACATCAAATCTCTTGCTCAACAACCCCAAATCTAACCCACTCTGTTTCAAGATTTCAATGGTAATGTTGATTAATCCGGGCAAGATTTCAGAATCTTCTAAACCCAAGGTCAACACATCCATAATCAAATTCGATCTTTGTAAAGCAATAATCAAGTCGGCCAAGTTAATCAACCTCAATCTGATGACCCATATTGTTGTCTGAATCACTATGTCTAATAATTCTGGACGCAACAAAACATAATCAATCACAGTCAAGGCAACGCCAGTATTGTTAAGAGTCAGTAATATTGTATCCAATAGTGGCAAATCGGATCTCTTTTCCAATAAATCAAAAACATCAGAACGTCTTTTTTTATCCATAGCAAAGCTTGGTTCAAGATTATGAGCATTATAGTCTTGTAAAGATAACAACAAAATTGCAAGTTGAGTGTTATTGAGACCGGGGTCTTGGACAGTGGCCAGGGCAGTTTCATTGCTTGCGGGAGCTATGGTAACGTTAACGCCGGAGGAGGTGTCATTCCAAGATTTAACTCTTCTGGAGCTGAGAGTGATTTCATGCCATGCCCCTGTTATCGCTGAGCCGGCGACAGAATGGATTGCGAAAACCATGACCAATGCTAATGAGCTCGTCTTCATAGCTTGTAAGTACGCAGATTCACAAACAGCCTATCAGCCCTGGTGAACAGATAATGCATCTTTATTTATAGCTCGAGTTTTTTTTTAGGTGACAACATCAATATGAAATAAGGGCAAGTATAAAGTAGACCTGTTTTTTTACAATCAGTCTCGATATACCCACATTGTCAAACTGATCTGATACCCAGATATGGATCTAAGTATAAATCGAGATTGTTCCTGAAATTTGCTTTGCACTTTCCTAAGCATGGGTATGTATCTTTAGTGTGGTATACATTTCGAATGAAGAAAGTTCTAATTTGGCCAGCTTTCTTCTTTTTTTTATTTTTCTTTCCCGTCTCCCCACCAAAGAACATACACACCGAGAGAACTAATACCTTCCCGAAATAAAATTACCACGTTAGACAAAATACATGTCATTTGCTAATATCGACCTCGAGGCTCAGAAGAAGCCCTTATTGCTGCAAGCTGCGTCAGACAAGTATACCGATCTGGAGTCTAACGATTTGGATAAGATTATTGATAAAACTTCGAAGCAACTACAAACATTTAATCAACAAGTTACACAACTTGATCAACAACGGAGACAGCTAGGCTCGAAAAGGGACTGCGTACAGCTTCGGTCTAATCTCGACTCCTCAATAGAGCATATAAGTGAGCTACAGACTGCAATACAACACTTGATTGCAAACTTGTCCCAGTTGATCAATGTTTCTGCGGGAGACAAATCCAACGACACAGACAAGGTTAGGGTTAGTACTCGCCACATTGTTATCAAGGAAAGAATTGTTACCGAGTTTAATGAGTTGGAGAAGAAGTTTAAACGGTTAGTGAAGGTGTATCAAGAAAAGAAGAGAGTGACTCCAATTATTTCTAAAATTGACTTGAATGTGGGTAAAGAGCCTAATCATGCTACCAACGAAAGACAAGTTCAGAGCCAGGTACAAGTGGAGCCTGAGCTTGATCAAGACTTGATTGAACAAACCGAACTACAATACCATTTACAGCTAACTGAAGAGCGAAACCGAGAGATTGAACAGGTAACAGAGGGTATAATGGAGGTGAATTCGATTTTCAAAGATTTGGATCAACTTATACACCAACAGGGAGAACAACTTAATACAGTCGAAGACAATATATTGCAATTACACGGTAATACACAACAAGCAGACAGAGAACTAACTAAAGCAAACAACTATCAAAAACTGAAAAGTAAATGGTCCTGCATTTTGCTAACAGCCTTGACAATAGTGGTATTGATAATAGTCCTTGCCGTTGTGAGCTAAGGACCCCCGGAAATAAATAGCAGCACTTTTGAAAATATTCCCACAGATATTGTAGGTAACGACTCTCCTGCGACTTCTTCAATCTAACTCTAAGTCATCCTCATCTGCAGACTCGATGTCTGTGTCTATCTCCAGAAAATCAGTTGTGTTTGGAGTACTTATATCAGTAAAACTTTCGTATCCGGTAGAATTGCCTTCAGCCTCTTCACCAAGTGCGTCGTCTTCATAGCCATCAGCGAAAACTCCCTGATTCTTTATTTTATTCTCCTCGAGCTTTTTGTGACAATATTCGGCACCTCGGTTGAAGAGGTTTTCTGCAGCTTGCAATATGGCCTCCCTATTGTTTGCTACAGCCAACCCCGCACCCGCAAGTCCTCCGACCGCAAGCGCCACTTTGACAGAAAATGGTACAGCTTGCTTATTGTTAGAATGGGTGATGTGTGAATGAAGCATGAACTGCGGGCTGATACGTACCTAAGAACGGCATCACTATGTATGGGGTTAAATGATTGTAAAGGTGTTGTTGAAAGCTGAACTTTTATGATAAAAAAAAAAAATGAAATGAGGCGAGAGCAAAAAAGGGGTCACCACATTAACTGGTGGCAAGTTTGTGACACCACAAAAAACACGTTAGATAAGAGATTAAGAAGTCCGAGTTCAAAGACCATTTGGCAGTAAGTTACAAGCAATCCATATTCCTCGAAAAGAAGCACACATCGTTCAAACAACCATATCATGGCAAATGTGGTTCAATTTTGAAAAGGAAGATGGCTGAGCAACTGGGTTCACAGTTTTCGAATGGGAGCGGAGCGTGCGACACACTCGTCTTAGGCAAATTACTCAAAGGCTGACTTTAGAGTAGACTCTACCAATCTAGTGCTTTAAAGGTCCCTGTACGCCTTCTTGAAAGACTGCTTCATATTCATCATCCACACACCACGCCCTGTGCTTATCGATTCAATCTGCGCTACCAACTTCTGTTTTGGCGACTCAATTACGTTTTATTTTTTGGTCCACCCCCCACCCATTTGCATTGAAAAATTTCAAAGTGGACACAGACAATAGAGCCAATGATGGAAGGCGGGTCTGGGGACAATATTTTGATATCCCGCCCATTGAGCGTTTCTGAGAATTTCTTCAGGTCACGGACTGCCAGTGGCAACTACCGCAATTTTCAAGTTACTGCGACTTACCGACCAGGATTAAAAAAGAACTGGAAGCTTTTCTACTATGCCTTGAGGAAAACCATCCTTGACTACCACATTTTGATTACAAATGTTCAATTCTGCACATCTGTTGATAGCTTCGTTTACAAACCGTTGGATAAAGTCAATTTTGCTAGCGTCGTTCAGGTAATTGAAACCAGAGATTATGTCACCAGCGATACCGTCAATGAAAAGTTTATGAAATTCGTCAATGGCATAAAGTTTGACTTGTACTCGCAGAATCCATTGTTCAGGTTGATTATAGTGGGTGAAGACCATCTTTGCGCTGTCTTTGAGCACACAATAGCCGATGGTTTGGTTGCTCGATACATACACGAAATTCTACTTCAAAACATTGCGCACTGCGATAACCTTTCCAAGTGGAGCATTCTAGAAAAGGAGTATGGTTTCGAAGAAGTTGATGATCCCTTTAATGCTGAGCTATTCAACATCAATCGCGACCAAAAGTTCATCAAAAACTCCTTACCACCACCGATCGATTTATTCCTTTCAATGGAAGAAGACTACACCGGAGGGGACTCTCAATTTTCCGAGCTAGTTGTGCCATCAAATGCAAAAGGTAAATGGCTTGGTAGGTTTCCTGCAATCGATGTGCATGACATTGCATTCAAGTTGATCAATATTCCTGCACAAGAAACCCGAAAAATACTTGAAAAGTGCAGAGCACAGCAAGTTTCAATTACCGCCTACATCGAGGTGGTATTTGCATTCACAATGTGGCCAATATTTGACGGAAAGTATGCCTCATACAAATGCGCCATGGCTTTAAGACGGCACATGGATGTAAAAACAGCACCAAAGCAATACACTTCCATTTTCAATCAACCAGGCTATAAAATCCTAGGAACACTGGCGCATATGGGCTTTGGAATGAATCTTCCTCCCATCACAGAATTCTCCTGGGAACTTGTTCGCAAGATTAACAGTCATATTGTTTCTGGATGTCGAAATAAGAGGGCATTGAATCAGTTGAAAGGTTTTAAAGATAATGCTGACATGAAAGACAGGTCAAATGAGTACTTTTTCAAAAAACAGCTAAACAACCCAAAAGCTGATGCTGTAAAAATTTCTAATTTAGGTTTTGTTCAAGAAACGGAGCATCGAAGTGAACAGGGAAGGACGTGGACGATAAAAAACATGGTATTTGCACAGGATATGGCCCCTTATGCCTCGGAGTTTATGTTGAATGTGATAACAACCGCTAAAGGAGGCTTGAATATGACATTGAGCTACTACGACCACACATTTGAGGATTCAAAATGGGACAATTTTGATCATTTTGTAGAGAAGCTTCAAAGAAATATGGTTGAGTGTATAGAGTGACTGTTTAAATTAGCTACAGCTTGTTGGTAGCTTTACTATATGAGATATCTTGTGATTTTGCTGCAAAAACCCTCCTCCAGCGCCTGTAGACTTGGTGTCGCGGTTTGGTGGAAAGTTGACGAGAAAAAAGCGTTTGCACGAGCACACATATTGAGATACAGAAATTATACCATAACAGGAACCTATACACATGCCGCCAGCTCCAGAGTTTGACACTTCTTTCGATGACACACTTCAACTGTCGACTGTAAGGAGTGCCAAAACTGGGTCATGGATTAATCAACAAGAGATTCGAGAAGTCCAGCGATATGATGATTTCCGATCAATCGATTGGGTCGAAGATGAATTGGATGAACAAAAACAGCGACTACTAAAGTTGAAGCATATAACAAACAGAGGCAACAATCTTAAAGACAAAATTCTATCACAGGTGTCTAACTGGCTCGTTTTGGCATGCATGGGTATAGTGATTGGGTTGATTGCGGGGTCATTGAATATTATAACATCGTTTCTCTCTAGTGCAAGGCTTGGGTACTGCAAGCGTGGACTTTACCTAAGTGAATCATTTTGCTGTTGGGGAGAGAATGATGGCCATTGCGAAAACTGGACAGAGTGGACCCCACTAACCGGACTCAATTATGTTGTTTACGTAATTATATCCCTCCTCATGTCCTATACAGCTGCCATAATGGTGAAATATTATGCCCCGTTTGCTGCTGGGTCTGGCATCTCTGAGATAAAATGCATCATTTCTGGATTTGTAATGGACGGGTTTTTGGGATGGTGGACCTTGGCTATAAAAAGTTTGGGTTTGCCATTAGCAATTGGCTCTGGAATGAGCGTTGGGAAAGAGGGGCCAAGTGTACACTATGCTGTGTGCGTTGGTAATTCTATTGGACGACTCGTACCAAAGTACAGGAAATCCGCATCAAAGGGAAGGGAATTCTTGACTGCAACTGCCGCTGCAGGTGTAGCAGTTGCGTTTGGTTCCCCCATGGGTGGGGTACTATTTTCAGTGGAAGAAATTTCTTCTGTGTTTCAATTGTCGACCTTGTGGAAATCATACTTTTGTTCGCTCATTGCGGTTACTACTTTGGCAGCTATGAATCCATTCAGAACTGGACAATTAGTGTTGTTTGAAGTTACGTATGACACCAACTGGCATTACTTTGAAATTCCTATTTATATCATATTGGGGATTTTTGGTGGAGTCTACGGGATTGTTGTTTCAAAGTTAAACACAAGGGTTGTATCCTTTCGCAAGCGGTTCTTGGGAACATGGGCTATCCGAGAGGTTTTCATTTTAACATTATTGACCGCAAGTTTTTCATACTTTAATCAATTTCTTCGGTTGGACATGACTGAATCGATGCAAATTCTATTTCATGAATGCGACGCTACTTTCCAAAACCCAATCTGTCATCCTGAAAATGGTAGGGCCAAACTTTTGTTTTCATTGATGTTTGCTACCATTGCAAGAATGACACTAACAATAATTACATACGGCTGCAAAGTACCTGCTGGGATTTTCGTTCCTTCTATGGCAGCAGGCGCAACGTTTGGAAGAGCAGTTGGGATTATTGTGGACTACGCTTATAAGAAACATCCCCAACTTGCTGTATTTTCCGCTTGTAATGATGGTGACAAATGCGTCATACCAGGAACATACGCTTTCTTGGGTGCAGCGGCGGGGTTGTGTGGAATCACCGATTTGACAGTTACAGTAGTGATCATCATGTTTGAATTGACAGGGGCCATACGATACATTCTACCCACGATGATTGTTGTTGCTATAACAAAAGGTATTAATGACAAATGGGGAAAGGGCGGGATAGCAGATCAAATGATTAAATTCAATGGGTTGCCACTCATCGATTCAAAAGAGGAGTTCCATTTCAATACAGCTGTGACCTCAGCCATGTCCACTGTGGTGGTGGCATTTTCAGCCGATTCAAGCGATTCATTGACTTTGGGACAACTAAGGCAAACGTTAAGCAAAACCAACTACCGAGGGTTTCCCATCATTCGTTCAGGTAATAATCCCAAAATAGAGGGGTATATATCGAGGTACGAGATAGAATATGTTCTTGGTAAAAACGAGAGTGTCAACCCAGAGACCCTATGCAACTTCAATACAAAGGAGAGGGGTTCAACAGAAAAAATTGATTTCAGTTCCATGATAAATCGTTCGCCACTAAGCATTGATTGTGAGACTCTTTTGAAGTTTGTTGCTGATATCTTTGTCAAACTCGGTCCTCGCTATTTGTTAGTTGAGCAACTGGGAACATTGATTGGAATAATTACAAGGAAAGATGTCCTACGGTATGAGCACTCAATTCATCAAGAAGAAGCCGATACTGGCTTTCAAGAATGGCAGGAAGAGCTCGAAAAACGCATATGGGATACCATAAACACAATGTATTTGTCTATTTGGAATCTTTTCTGCCGAGTCGTAAGTAGAAACTCGTATAGGTCTCAATAATCGAATGAAATTGCGAAGAGAAGTTGTGGTACCATACTCTAGGGGTACAAAGACCATGCTGCTACACACACTTATAAGCTTCATTCTGCAAGTATCATTTCCCAGTTAAAGTCCTTGGCTTTTGGAAAGAACATATAGATAAAATGTACTGCGTCCATCGCAGTCGTTGACGATTGGTTTTGGATTCGGGGAGCTTGGACCACCAATTTAAAGCAAGGTGTAGAAGAAGAACAGAGGAGACGACTGAACATAAAATGGGTTTACACACCACTGTTGCTACATCTCAGGGACTAACTACATTGGTATTATTTGCATTGAAGGTGCATTTACAACCCAATGGCATAGCGGAAACCATTCAAGAACATTCTGTTGTAAGGGAACAACTGGACACGCAGTAACGTCAGTTTGGTCTGGCCCATGTGAAGGAGTAGCAGCAGATTCAGAGTCAGTAACTCTAGCAAAAGACATGTTATATATATAGTTTAAAGACACCTTTGCATAATACTTTATTCCTTAAAGGTCAGAAAAAGATTATACACTTAAGAACAGATTAAGATTGGGAAATTCAATCCCTAATTTATAGTGTTGATGAAACTGCGCATAAGGGATGAAACACCCTCGTGGCCCTGCTGGCAATAGAACTCCCTCTGAAGTTCACCAGTGCAAGGACTAATAATATATAGACTTGTTGTCATGTAACGTATGCAACACATCGCCACATCCGTAAGAAAAACTTGAACACGCACGTGACTTTTTCCACCACACGAACACCACAACAACTTTTTGTTAGATTCCTTGAATTATACCATACTTCAACAGGAGCCAGGCAGGAAAAGACCAAATGACGAGAGAGGACTGTTGTTTATCAAAGACAGGGGTTATGAGAAGCTCGATTGTGAGTACCTGTTGTAATGAGCAACTGCGGTGATCAAGAGAAACGCTTTTGTTCTTTGTGAGCTGTACATTGTCTACGGTACAGGACAGTTGGAAGTACAACAGACTTAGTTGAATGCTTGAAGAATGATCAGTTCTAATAATGAAGTCAAGCTACTCAGCACATAAACTATTGTGCACCAACACTGGATCACAATATTCAGATATCAATTTAAGTAGGAACGTGGGACTGCGGCAGATGAAATGTTCATTGGCGACACCATCCACCATTGCAGTCTGCTCAGATTGAATGCTGAAGGACGGTATCATAATCTGTTCATATCAAGTCAAGTCTATTGGTATACGGCGTCTCTTTTTTACTTGAGATGGTCAATTCAAGTTAGTTCCTATTGTGTGCTCTTCTTGCCATCCATGTCGTATCCATGATGGCAACAAATCAGTCAATGCCTTCTTTACGTACTCCTTCACCACCAGCTCCCCAACCCGTTTCATAATCATTTTGACAGGCAGCTTCACAGCAGCGGCGGCAGCAGCAGGTGGTTTGTTCACAGATTCATCACTAACCCTTTTGATACGAAACAACTTCTTCCACTTGAACTTCATCACGTTGCTTTTGTGGCAACTATCTGCCACAAAGACGTCAGGTGTCATTTCACTTGGTCCTGTTTGACTCAAAGTGTCATCTTGAACAGGATTAACGGGCACAAGGACACCACGACGATGAGGTAAGGCGGGATTGGCAGCAATTGGGTTATTCCCTTCTTCAAAAATTGCCACAGAAGGATATAGAACGTGGGAAACAGATGGACGGTTGTTCTCCTCACCACAAACCGCAGATTCACAACTCTGCTTTGCCGTTTTGTTCTTCCTTGAAAAGAGCGCTTTCAAGTGTGGACTCGCATGCTTCCTCAGGGCACGAGACGTTTTCTTGCATGTCTCAGACACTTGCAAGTCAGGTTCAACTCTGGCTTTATGGGACTTGAACGGTTTGCCAATATCACTCCCAAATGTTTTGACCTTTAAGCAAAACTTCTTCCATTTCTTGCCAGATTTCACAGCTGCTTCAACGTCCCTTTCAATTGGCTCAATTGCGGGGGCTTGAGTGACTGGGGTTTCAATTCCACTGACGGGAGAGATCACTAATGAACCATTCACCTCATCTTCATTGCTCTCATTACCGGAAACACTAACAATGTACTCATTCACAGATTCAACATTATCAACAACAGTGCTAACCGGTCCCGGACCAGATGCTTCATTGGAATCCCCAACTTTGCCACCACCATCATTGTCATCATTCCTGCAATGATATTCAACTTGCAAACTTTCCAAAGGATTCAACTTCATATCCATTGCATCTTTTCTCCTTTGTGGGACAGATTTACGTGTCTCAGCAACTTTCCTTGTCACGAACTGATCATAGTAGTTGGACTTGTTCAACGATTCAATGTAAAGCTCTCTCACACCAGTCACTGGTTTGGCATGCACCATTTTCTCAAATGAACTCAACTTGGTCTCCTCTTCATGGGCTGCTGTTGTGGTGGTGGGATGTTGGATTCATCAGATGTGGAAGTATATAGTGCTCTTTCGAAAATCTAACGCGTGTCTCGAAAGTCTACCCGTGGTTCGTATAGTGCTCCTTTCTCATTCTGCTGTCGACACTGATGCATTGTGGCTCGTGCATGCACTTGGTTTCGATGCACTCGTTGGTTCTTGCTGGTTTTGCAACCAAGTATCAAGCAAGAAGTGGTAGGGTCCTTGTGGGTATTTATTTTTTTTGTAGTGAGGTTTGATCTCCTCAGCAAGGACAAACTGATAGATCAGCTATCTCATGATGGAATATTGCATACCTGAGAGAAGAAGCCACTTGAAAATCCATGTGGAATTTAGAAGTCCTATTTATATGTATTTGTGTAAACGTCGCAACATAGAGATGAAATAACCTTGTGGCCTTTTTGACAACAAAACTCCCACTGAAGCAAGCATCAATACTATATAGTGGCTGTCATATCAACACGTTCAAGACATGACCCCTTTTGTAAGTAACAGCAATATCACAGCATCAACACATCACGGCATCAACACATCACAACATTAGCTCATTACCACACCAACATGGTATACTCTCCTCATTTCCTCTGTGTGCATTGAATACATGTAACTTAACACACGGAAACAATTTTGTTGGAGGTTCCTTGAATCATTCCTACTTCACCACTTATTGTTTGATCAAAATGTTATTTAGTTTATTTTGAAGTTTAGTTTAATTATTGTACGATTAATAATGCAATAAGGTTGGGAAACAGTTTCCGCCTGTTAAAGTTCATGAATGTAGTGTCTTTGGCTATGGTGAATACGATTTTGGAAAACGAATACTCGTCATTGTACTATACACCATGAGACTTACACTGAGTGCATTGCATTTTCCAGGGACCGGTGTGAATGGAACCATTGAGCCTACTCTTTTTTTACCGGCATTGACCAACTTGCAACATACACAGTCACTGCTTGCTTTCCAGTTTCGTATGCCATTCAATTAACACACAGTCGTGTTATGATACTTTTTTTTTTTTTTATTTTTTCTTGATTACTGGTCCTTCCACTTCCAATACTCTTGATAATCGCGATACAAGCTTTTGTATAGTGCTTTGCCAGCATAATCCAAAGCTGAGTTGACTATCAGCAATTCACTTTTGGATAAGATGTCAAACACGGTATAAATACCCACAACTAATATGTCATTGACTTGCTTTTGGAATGTAAACTTCAAGCTAAGATGAATGTAATTGATCATGAAGTACGGCATGTGAGACCGAAGCAGTTTCTTGTGTATATTTGACTGAGTGGTTAGTCTGGGATTCAGCAGGTCCAGCCAGGAACTAGTTGATGCGTCTTTGACATGCTCTTGAGGTTCACACAAGTTGCTCAATAGCCTAGTAAATGCGCTCGCCGCAGCAACGCTATGTCCTAAAAGTGCTGGTTCAATTAATCGTTCCAAGAAAGTGCACATCAAATTTACTACCAAATGGTGACGCGTCGACAACTTGAATCTGTGATGCAACAACATTTGCGAGACTGTTTGCGACGACTGCAAGAAAAGTTCCTCAACGTCAATTTGAACTTTGTTGGACAGTGTCACTAACATTTCTGCAACAATGCCAATTGCCATTTCGAGAACATATTGGGTAAACATCCACAGTTTATGTGTTAGTAACCACTTGAGGTTTACCACTACATTACTCATTACTTTGAGCAGAATGGAATGCAGTGGAACTTTCAAATAGCAAGAGAATAGCCCAGTAAGTAAAGCTTCGTCACATTCCCTTGGAATAGTGCTCAACAATGCGGAGACAACCAAGTATGTAGAATCGACAAATTCTTTCTCAACTATCTCCGCCGACATTATCACAAAAGAACAAACTTGTTGATACACTTCCAAATCACTGTCAGCAAGTGTTTTCAAATACTCAACCACATCTTGATGTAAATGCGGTACAGCCACATCATTGTTGAGAATAGAATACAAGCTCAAAACAAATTTTGCGGAACGTAAATCCGGTTCTGCTGTTTTGCAAATTAACCTGAATAACAGTTGCTTGATGGCATCCTCATCTACTTGGTTTCCAATTTGCTTGATAATGACCGATACATCGTCAAAGTTTATCATAGAGCGGGGTATTCCAGCGAGTCCCTGTAGTATCCAGACCAAAGTTGAATTTTTAATCAAACCTCTCCTCTTTTTCAAATGTCGTGTGCAACTATTTTTGAAAGCAAGCACCAATTTCTCGAACTTGGATAGATATTCTTTTGCTAGTGTTTTCCATGGAAGTGTTACAACGGACAAGGTGATTTCCATATAAGAGGAAACTCCTGCATCGCTGTCATTATTGACACCCAGTAAAAGACTCTCAATTGCGTTATCGACATACTTTCGATTATCCTCGGATCTAATCATATCAATATTACTCTTCCACACTTTTTTGGAAATACTGTCCATATATTTTCGAGCTTCTTCATGGCTGGAAATATCCCACAATTGAAGTAGTACTGAGAAATCACGTTCTATGATGGATTGATACGACGCAGACTCAAGCAAATAATCGATACACTTCAAGGCCCTTGTATCCTTTGAACTCAAGTACGCATTGGCCAATGTATCTAACAAGTCCCTTTTGGGTCCTCTAGCGTAGCATGACAAAGGTACTGTATCGATCTGATCTGAGTAGGATATTGGGTCCGTTATAAATAGCCTGACACAACAATTCATTATATTCTTCTGTTCGTAAAATTCATCGTCGATGCCACAAAGAACGTTCATCTTGAGCCCGATTTTCAACAACCCCGTCATGTTGTCAAATGTAAAGTAGTCGTTGACTACAATAAACCAACGACGCAACACCAGCGGAGTGATATTTTCATTATCTCGTAAAAATAAAATGAACTGGGCTTGTTGCTTCTCGGAGTAGGCACTAAGCACATTCAATTCTAATAGTCTAAAGATAGTATAGTGATAGTACATATCATAGTCCAACTTTAGCAAACTCTCGGGAATGTCAAAGTTTGTGCCATACAAAATGAGAAGATTGTAGCGGATTTCCCAAAAGTTGTCGGTTGTATTGATCACATCTTTTAACTGCAAGAAACGAGACTCTAATGAGTCAACTAAACTGGGTGGAGCTGATATCATTCCTTTCGTTAATGCGGACAATAATGCCGCGCATGCCTCGGTCAGTAGCTTTGGTGATGCCTCAATAACGTGGACAAGTTGCTTCTCAGACAAATAGTTCACACAGCTGGCTACGTGTAAAATAAACTCTTCTCCATCCCACAATTCGTCTTTCGCAATTGCTTTTGGCCAAACTTTCAATAAAAAATCAACCAATTCTCGATTTTTTGCATAAGCGGAAACAACAACTTTCCCAACAGGCAAGACCTTCTCATTCAAGTTGAAGGCGGAGTTGTATTTCTCGAAAACAAACTTTGATTTAGATGCAGCCAACTCAGAATCCAATTCAAAAATATACTTCACCATATCCCAGTTCAAGTTTATAAACTTCTTGCTCGCAACTTCCTTTGCGTAGACTGAAGTGATGAAGTCTTGTGGTATTGCATGCTGCGAATCAGCCATAATCGATATTAGGGATTCAGACAACTCTGGGGATGTCTCCACAATAACATCAAACAACTCAGTACAAAGGTTCATGTTCAGTGATGCTAATTTCTGAACTGCTTTTTGAAAAAAGAATACCAAGACAGCATTATCCATGTTGTGCTTTGTGAGGAACTTTCCAAAATTTTGCAGCATATACGATATATTGTCAGGATTGAATATTCTCTTTGTGAAGACTTCTTCATACAAATGTTTTGTGGGCGTGTGGGTTCCCAGGGATAAGTATCTGGTCAATGGGTAAAAGAGCTCCTCAAAGAATTGGGAATATGTCCTCTTTGATACCTCGAAGGCTCCCTGAGAGCTTGAATTCCAGTATAAGTTTATCACAATGGGGTCCAATGAAATGGATATAGTTTGATATAAATCCTTTTCAGTGAAATTGAGTGTGGCTTTAAGCAATCGTACTCCTGTCGACTCGTCAATTTCAAGAAACAGCTGTTGCATAAAGATAAGCAATACGCGACACACCACGGGTAAGCAGTTCCAACTTTGCACATCGTCACTATCCAATAGTAGTATCGTCAAGTCGATGATTTTCAAATTTTGTAGAAGGTTAGCGTCGGTCTGAGAAGGACTTTTGGTCAGTAAAACTTTTTCCAATAAATTCCAAACATCATTGTTGTATTTCCACTTCCCAAAGCTTGACGAGTTCGATCTATCATTCAAACGATCAACGAGTAAACTCAATATAAATTCTCCAGCGTTTGGAAGATAGGCATCCAATTTGTGATCCAAAACCTCACGTGCGAGGTTTAAAATATGCTGGACATCCTCATTCTTTGACCTAAGAAACTTTGTAATGGCCTCGGAGGATCGTAGGTTAATTGTGGTCGATGGCATAAACACAATGGAAAGGCTGAAGAAAGAAGCTGCTTTCTTGTAAATTCACAGAATGTCATCTCATCACCTCGCTCGCGGTGGATGGAAAAAAAAAAATCGTCGTTAACGCTGAGGATGTAATACATGTATCACTGAGAGAGTGAGAGAGAGAAAGAGGAAAGGGGGGGAGGGGATCAAGATGCATGTTAGACAAGACTATGCTCCTCAGTATATTAGTCTAACATCTATACACATATCCGTATACATTACGCAATGTCCATACCCATAAGCAACTGGGTATACCAAGCCCCGATTATATCAACAAGGTTTCGATCTTGTCTTTAATTCCATAAATTTGGTTCTTGATGGAAGAAGCATCATTTGTAGTGACCGAAGCAGCAATCACGGGTCTTGAAACACCACAAGCTCTTCCCAAAGCAGCCTTGCTAGGGACGAAAACATATGGAACGTTTTTATCCTCACAAAGCAAAGGCAAGTGCAACAAAATTTCAATTGGTTCAGTATCGGCAGCCATGATGATGAATTCAGAAATACCTCTGTTCAATGTCTTGGTGGCTTCGTTGGCACCTTTCTTCAATTGTCTAAGGTTTTGAGACTGTTGAACGACATCCAAGATCTGTTGAGTTAAAGCGGAATCAGCCAATGGAAAGGCCTTTGGGTTTGGTGCTGACATTATAGATTACTTTTGAAAAAAAAAAAAAAGAATTTGATATGAAGGCTCCTTGCAAATACTGTTTATAAGCTCGCCAGTAAGTTGTAGTGGAAGAGTAAAAGGATCAAATGAAGATTCTCGAGATGACCTTTCCGTAAGTTTTTTTTTTTTTTTCTTTCAACATCATTTGGTAGCGTAGGACATTATAGTAGTGTACGTTGCACCAATAAATTAATCAAGAATAGATTGAGCACACACGCACAACGCACAACGCACAGCGCACAGCGCACAGCGCACACAACAGCAAAGGAAAAAAAATTAAACCAACTTCGAATTCAAAGGTCCTCCAAATTGGTTGGTATCAATTATTAAAGTTGAATTTCAAATAATCAATCAAATTTCCTACACTAGCATTAATTCAAATATGTCAGATTTGTGGTATGTCGATTCTCAATTCACATATATAGTGCGGACCGTGGCGTGCACATGTGCTACGCACCAAGTACAGACGTTATCTCAACGTGATACGATTTTGTCAACGCCAATGCAATTTCATCCCGATAAGCATTGGATTGAGTTGCCACTTACAATGTGCGTCCTTTGTTCACTCAAGCACTAAGTCCATGTCTACTTTAACCCCCTTACTTGTTTCATACTAACAAATTCCTACTAGTCCTGTTTATGCTCCATTTTTTGGATCTATTGGCTGTGCGTCCGCCATCATCTTCACCTGTTTTGGTGCATCTTACGGTACAGCTAAATCTGGTGTTGGTATCTGTGCCACGTGTGTAACTAGACCCGACTTGTTGGTCAAGAATGTTGTCCCAGTTGTTATGGCTGGTATTATTGCTATTTATGGGTTGGTTGTGTCAGTTTTGGTGAGTGACTCATTAGCTCAAAAGCAAGCATTGTACACCGGATTCATTCAACTAGGAGCTGGGTTATCAGTTGGATTATCCGGTTTGGCAGCAGGTTTCGCCATCGGTATTGTTGGAGACGCTGGTGTTAGAGGTACTGCCCAACAACCAAGGTTATTCGTTGGTATGATTTTGATTTTGATTTTCGCCGAAGTGTTGGGTTTGTACGGATTGATCGTTGCATTGTTGTTGAACTCAAGAGCCTCTCAAGACGTCACTTGTTAGACAACAATGGTGGAAGAGAGTGTCGCCGGTTTGAAAGAACAAAGAGAAGAAGAAGATGAAACAGTGACCCTTTACATAGTGACGGGACAAATTTGTAGATCATTAAGTCTAAAAATGAAAGATTCAAAATTGCAATCACTATCATATCTAATACTCTACGAATTTTCTCCCAATTTGAATTGTCGTTTGACGCCTTAATAGTTTTAGCATATCACTGAATTTACTAGGAAGCGTCAAAGATCTCCTCCAGTCATACAGCTCCAACTGACCTTCTTCTTCTTTGTGACTAATGGATACAGTGTAAAGCTTTTCACCCTCCACCTTGTTTTGCTCACTGGTATCTCCCTCGTAGCTTTCTATTAACTCAGCAATTGTAAATAAGTCGGCTTGACGTAGCTTCGATTCACCTTTTAAAAGGGGAAGAAATTGGCACAATAGCAACGGCTTGAACTTGTCAGGCAAGAAATTGAAATTCAAAAGATGAACAAGTCTTGAAACAGATAATGATGGGTTTGGGTTTCCTGATTTCAACGAATCGTAAAACTGCTTCAACACTGCGTAGGGAGAAATACATTGTTGTATTATCGAATGGATAACAAAGTCAACTTTCTGATCAACGATGCTGTTGATTAATTCGTCTTGTATAGGTTTATTACATACAAGACAATCAGTAAATATAATCTCCCAAACAATGTGCTGAATTTGATGCAATCCTTCTTTGTGATAGGACCCAGATGATTTGTTAGGATCATAGCAGTTGACAAAATTTTCCAACGCCTCGTACAAATTATTTTGGCCAAGGGCGCGAAGACCAGCTTGATAATATATATCCTTTGCCGTTGAGGCCAAATGCAAGTCTGCGCATACAGTTAAAGCCCACTCCTGATCGTCATTGTCGACTATCTCATACTTGGGTAGGAAATGAGCAATTGTTCGCTTATTTCTCTCTTGAGCCTTTGGTGACGGATTGAGAAGCCTGTTGGACAAAATACCAATACCTACTGGAACAAGTGGATGAATGTTCAAGCAATTATAAGCATGGTTTAGTAAAAAGTACTCTGAAATTCTCTTCCTGTGGGACATTCCCACCAAGGTGCCGTTTTTGGAAATATCAGTGGAGTAGTAAGGATCCAAATAACCTTTGTGCTCCAAAAGCAAAGATGCATACGCTGCAGTAGCTGGATCTAAATCGAAAATACCCTCAAGAGCTTTCAAAAACTTGCCTTCCAAGATTTGTAATAGACAAAACTCCGTTAATTCATCAAAATCATCATATTCATGGTGATCAACAAGAGGCGGTCTTTCTTTTATGGCTTGGCTGAAATACTCTTGATAAACAGTTTCATCATCGCGAATTTGAAACAACGAATAGGCCAAATACAATTCGTACCAATTTTCGCAGTAGTTCGCAATGGTTCTTGCAAACCCAGTCAATATACAGGCCACATCGTAAATCTGATTTAGCATTATTCGATAAAGTGCGTTCTTTGAGGTATCGGTGGTCGAAATATTGACAGACGATAAGCTATCACGAAATTCACACGCTGATGATTTCCACTGCAGGAATTGGCCCTTATCTGCCATGGCCGTGTAGCTCAAAAGCAAGGTCTGCAAGTCCCTTATAGTATGATACAAGTCATCCTCGGCACCTTCAAGCTCTTGGTAGTAGGAATGCTCGAGGATGTTGACCAGCTGATCAAACAAACCTCGACATATGCATTTTGATAAAAGTGTATTCCAAAAGAGAGGGTGGGCATAGCATTGGGAGTTACTGGTCATCACTTCATCTACCAACTCAGCCGACGGCTGTGAATCAAATAAATTCACCCACTTTACAATGATATCGGGACGTCTCCTGACGTCTTTGCTAAAGCAGGTGGCCCTTAGGCACTCTAATATAACTAGTAAGTAGTTGAACTTACTCACAATACTGTTGCTATCGTCGATTCTTGGCTGTTCAACAAAGTCTAAAGTCAAATGGTCCACAATTGAATCGTATGCATCATCAATAATTTGGGATTGGGACAATTGTGGTGCTTCATTGTGGCGAGTAATAACACCAATTGGCTGGGAAAAGCTTTCTTCGTCTGCAATCTTCAAGTTTGCCTCAAAATCCTCGATTGTTTTGAAATTGGTCTCGATATACTTGATGTAATCGTTGTCAAGCGCTGTACGATGATGCAAACTGGAACGATATCTATTGTGGTCAAATTCAAACAGAAGGGCAGTGTCTGAGCTTAGCCACTGAAATAAAGGAATGCTCTCTGAATCATTAGAAAAGTAAGACGAGAGAGAGTAGCTTGCGGTGGTATAAGAAAGCAGCTCTCGTGGCGTGGAGGGTCTCTCAACTTCCTCATTCGATGTTGGAGAATCTGTGACAATTCCCTCTGTTACTGACGATACACTAGTGTCAACATCATCATTGTCCTCCATTGGGATATCTAACATCTCTATATCCTTGAAGTCCCGATTCATGGTAGTGCACAGCTATTGGACTATTTGCTGTTGATGTTAGTCCGTTCTTCTTTTCAATACGCAATTTATTTTTTGTTTTTTTTTTTTTGTTTTTTTTTTTGTCTCCTCTCTTCTTTAGCCTACTAACTGCTACAGGGACTACTAACAAAACAGTTTTGCGAAAATGCACACTAAATATTCATCTATACACAACATTCGTAGTAAATCCTTTGTAATGAACGTTTATTCGCCACCAAGTTTGGGAATTTCGAGTCTAGTTTTGGATTACCATCACCAAAAAATTTGAAAAGAATTCTACCATCAAGGATCTGCTGTAATGGCAGTCTAACATCATCATCCATTGACCTCTTTATTTCGAGAATGGAAAGGTTCTGTCCTTGAGCATAAAGAGTTAATTCCTCATCACACTTGCAGAGTACCTCTATCCAGTTTTTGTTCTCAATTTTGGTCAAAGTAAAAATACCACCCGCAAGAGTTCCAATCCTGGCTATGCGAGAAGCGTTCTCTCCCTTGTTAACTGAACCTGTCGTTGAGTTGACTTGGTCACCATCAATGGTAAATTTCACGCTCCTTTCTGTCAATCCTATCGTACGGAGCAAAACTATATTACCCGAGGTGTATCCGATGACATGATAGTCGAATTTATCATTATCTGATGAGTGAGACATGGTTGTCAAATACTTCTCTTCTGTAATCGAGAAATTGCGTTTCCCTGAAGTTGGCCGGTCTCCCACCATGTGTGTAGAAACTCCCGCGGTGGCATCGCCAATCATGAACCAGTCGGGCCCTACGGTCAGAGCCAAACCCAATGAAGGTGCCACCTCCAAATGTTGTTTTTGTGCTTCGAATCGAGAACTCTTAACATCGCTGAGACTGCAAAAGAAGTTTATTGTCCCAGTGATCAAGTAAGTTCCCCAACGACGGCCCTCATCGTCTGTAATGCTCGTAAACTTCATTTCTTCTACACTTTGGTAGCCAGAAATTTTAGACTTCTCAATGAGCCTGATATGATCATCCATAATCTTGAAGATGGTGATGGGATTTCTGCCATTTGACGGTAAGCATATAAAAGCCACACCCGAATTCAACCCCAAAAGCAACAAGTTATCATCAGCCACTTGGCATAGGTCCACCACTTCAGTGTCATCATGAAACCTGAAAACGTCAAGAATAGCAAGTGTTTCAGCATCCACAAGTATCAACTCAGTCCTTACTTCGCCGGGGAAACTTAACTTATCATACGCCACCACAACGATATACTTGGTCGACTTCATTGGGAGACACTTGACGAATAATTTATCAGAATATACTGATTCAAAGCCAGTTAATTGGGTCCCATTACCAGAGTCTATCTCCCACAATTCAACTGCTCCATTAGCAAATGTTACGATAGCATTCTCCACCTTGTCATTGGTCTGCTTGGTCACGCCAACCGCTTCACCACAAAGATACACGTCAACAACGCTCTTTCTCTCAATTTTAGCAAACACAAACTGATCCAATTCCTTTAGCATTTTCGGTACCACTAACCCCTCTGAGCTGAAGCCCACAACAAAATCGTTTCTTCTGCGCCAAATGATGGGCATTTGATATTTTGTTTCCAAAATTTCATTCGCTAAAGTCAATTCCCTTTCTAACAATTTGAAATGCACTTGCTTGAAATCTCCGTTAGCAAACAGAAGGAATGCGTACACCTTGAGCGGTTGCTCTGGTTCGTTAGATCTTTCAATCAATATACTTGAAGAAAAAACAGCTCGCTCCGATGTTCCTTGGTACATTACCTGATTTTTCCCACTCTCTACATTCCAAATTTCATACTTTCCTGATAGCAACGAGCAAATGATCCAATACATGTTCTCATATTTGTATACATCGGCAGATGAAATTTCGTCTCCACCTTCCGTGTAGTGATCAAGCGTACAACAAATGCCATCCACACCTTGCAGAAAATCAAAAACACGTAATTCGTTATTTGTGGTGGCAACCAACACCACACCGTGTTCAGCCTGAATAGTTCCAAACTCAACGGTACCTTCAAATACAGAAGTGCCGTCTACTTTCAAACTGTTCTTTGTGAGAGTTATATTGTGCAGTTTGATCCTGGCTACCCTCAAAACATCATTTTCAATGTCGTCATTGATTGTGCTTTGGGAAAAGTCCTTACTCAAAGCTTGCACGGCCGAATTCAAGTTCAAGTTGTCGTCAATTTGATCGCAAAATAGATACTTCCCTCCTAACTCACCAACAACTCGCAAAGGAAAATTGGATACTTTTGCTTCGTTGTTCAAAGTATATTTGCACAAAGGTGCAGAATACTTTCTCAATTGGCTTCCATCCCATCCACCTTGGCACGCAAAAAACTTGTCACCGTCGTCTACTTCCTTCAAATCAATCACCGGAGGGTTTCCTTCTATTGTATTTAATATGTTGATGTTAGGTCTTGTGGGTAGCACTTCAAACAAAACTGATTTGGATGTTTTGGAAGCTTGAAAAAACGTATTTCCATAAAGGCGGTGCAAACCATTGGAAATTGGAATCGTGGTGTAGTCGAGATCAATGAATCTAACTTGATTGACAACGAGGCTGTTACCAGTGGACACTTGAATATCCATGAAAAGTAAAAACGTTTTACCAATTGATGTCGTTAGTAGTGTCCTTTGTGTATCAATTGGCTCAAAGCACCTGTATTCCATCTTATACTTTCCTCTCCCCGGTCTGTCTAAGGTTACGATTAAATGCGCGTCATGAGTTTTGGTCGATACAAACACATCCTTTGTCTCTCTGACAACTGACATATGCTGAAACTTTTCCGGTGGGAAATAGAACATGCTTGAGCTCGTGTAAACAATTAGCCCACCAGGATTTTGAATGCAAGGCTGAATTAAAGTGGGATCCTCCTCAAACAGAGAAAGCTGTCTAGACACTGACAATTTAAGCGTAGCTCCAGTCCAATCCAAGTATCGAATATAGTAGGCCGAGGATATGTCTTTGTAAAGAACCGCAAATGTGTATATTCCCAGTGGTTTTTCACTTGTCTCGTTATCATCAATTGCGCTCAAATTTATAATTTGTTTAACATCGATCTGCCCTATGCTTCGAGTGTATGGAACAACAAAATCCTCTCCAATAGATTCTAGCATATCTTTGACAGTAATTATTTGGACATTTGAATAAAATACATGCAATATTATAAACTCCGGATCCGATTCACGGACCGGTAAAATAATCGGAGCTTCTAGGTTGGGAGAAACACGCTGTCCTTGGGAGGAAAGATTAGCCGCAAACACAATTTTAGTCTTGGGGTGTTTCTTATGTGTCAATCCGCTCAAGTCAATAAGCATAAGTTCATACGTGGAATCTATTAAAATCACATAGTTGTTTGTGTTCCATGTGAATTTCGCCCACGATCGTATACCATTTCCAAACCTCACTGTAGTCACAAACTTGACTGATGTTTTCTCACAAATGTAGAACAGAATGTTGCGTCCTTGTGCAAGCAATAGTAATCGATTGCCTTTAACATTGACCACAAGTGCTAACGTTATCGCTCGCAAATTGGTGGATGATTCAGTAAGCAAAAACATGACTTAGGAAGGGGGAAGAATTGTAATGGATATAGGCTGTGTAAATTCCGGAGTTCACAAAATTCTCCAGCCGTTTCACTATACTGTTACGATTGAGCTGATAAAACAAAATGTGGTCCTTGATGCTTCAACTATGGTACTGCCGTTTGGTGAGTTTTCATCTTCACCTTTCTTTCTTTCTTTCTTTCTTTCTTTCTCTCTTTTTTTAGTTGCACAAAGATGCACAATAAAAGGGATTGGCTTTCTTTCACAAAGCTGGAAAAAGACAAAATATGTAGGTACAGCCTTCATATCAAACAACTGAAATTTCCCGTTAATTCCCCTTTCTAACAGAATGCATTCTTCTTCATAAGCTAGAGACATATACGCCCCTTTTCTTTACATTAGACCACGTTAAAACTTTCAGTTGATGAGAACCGGTGCTTAAAAAGATATAACTATTGCCTTGCGATACTTCAGTACTCATAAACATCCCTTGCTCAAACTTGCACAGTTTGAAACAACATTACGCATTCTCCGCCTATGGCGAACGGCAACACAGAGAAAGCATCAGGAGCCTTCAAAATACCATCGTGGAGTTTGAAAGGTTTGTGGACTTCGTCTACACAGACAACTGCGCCTCCAACACCGCCAACACCGCCATCGCCGCACCCGCCGCCCAACAAATCCATTGTCAACCAGGACAGTAAGGAGAGCCATTCCGCCAAACCCAAAAATTCAAAGGAGCGTGGAACTGCCACCCTTGCTGGACTGATACCGAGCAGTCTGTATCTGCGCGATTCCCAAGTCGTTAACAAGTGCTTTTGCTGTGATACCATCTTGACTTTTCCTAACACCGCCACCAAATACAAATGCTCGATATGTCACACGACTAATTTTGTCGCACTTCGAGGTGGCGAGGATCTTGATTCACATAGTCTGCCTGGTTCAATCTCACTTCAGGACGTCAATCGTATAGCGGAAAAATGCTTTGCATATGCGTTATCAAACGAAGGCAAGGAGAAACCTTTGCGTGATATATTCCAACAATTATCAACATACTTGTACAGTGGCTTCAAATCACATAACATTCTCAACGACTCTTTCAAGAAGCAACAGGATATCCACCGGCTGCGTCGTCATACGGCTAGTATAGACTATTCGGAAATCCGGGATATGTTTGGCCTATTGAGTAAATTGCCCACAAAGAGGCCCCTTTATTCCGCATTAAAAGGTGCTAGCGACCAGTTGAAAAGAATTCTGCCGCCTTCAAGTAATGCAACGCAATACCGATGGCTTTTCATACTACTAGAAATTCCTGTTTTGTCCCATGCGTTAGTGCCCCATCAACAACCACATGCGCGATCAATGAGCGGTGACCATGATGTAAAGACATTGTGCTATGATATTTTGAAGCGGAGTTTGGGAGTACTTTCTTGCATTGACGATTCAAAAGTTATCAACTATTTTACATCCTGGATCTCGCATTATAATCATGACCAGTTCATCCATGAAGTGGACCTTATCAATCTTTACATTACATTTCAGTTGAAAAAATATTTCTATTTGGCAAACAACCCTCATATAAAGCTACTGCTGACTTCCTCACCCAATATCCAGGAACCTGATGACTTGGAGTATTTTCAGAGTGCAAATTTGAAAGATCACATTGAATCTGGGCCTACCTCGCAAGACTTGCCTGGTTTTCACCAGGTACCATCTCCACAGCATTTCAACGAATCGAACGGCAATAACAAATCCAAGAACGGCAAAGACTCAAAAATCAGGGTGCAACAATATGGCAATGATTGGAGGATAGTCTCAGCACTGAAGGTACTTTCGTTGTTCTTGCGGGCAAATAAGATGAGAGACGACAAAATTCCAATTTCAGTATTTTACAACTCACTTGTGGACTATGTCAATATCAAGTTGGATTTTGACTCTTGGCAAAGTCAAAAGAAGTTGCATACAGCACATAATTGTAAAGAACCAGAGCTCAAAGCTATCATTGGGTACATCCATGGCACAAGTGTCAATAGTAGCTTATTCGACGATGCCTTGCTATACATTTGCCAATACCCCTTTCTCATTTCGTTGGGAAGCAAAATTTCAGTGTTGGAGTATGAGGCACGCAGACAAATGGAGCGTAAAGCTGAAGAAGCTTTTATTAACTCCTTGGATAAAAGGGTTGTGATAGACGTGTATTTAAGAATAAAGGTTAGAAGGGATCACATTGTCCAGGACTCTATGAAGGCGATTAAGCTGAATTTAACCAACTTGAAAAAGAGTTTGAAAGTGCAATTCATCAATGAGCCTGGGGTAGATGCCGGTGGTCTCCGTAAAGAATGGTTTATTCTACTTACTAAAGAAATTTTCCATCCTCAAGCTGGATTGTTTCATAATGTGGAGGATTCCAATTTGTTGTGGTTCAATACGTTCCCGCTAGAGGATCCAGAAATGTACTTTTTATTTGGAGCAGTGTTGGGTCTTGCTATTTACAACTCCACTATTTTGGACTTACAATTTCCGGTTGCGTTGTATAAGATATTGTTGGGCAAATCGCTTCACAAGGGAGATTACAAGCAGTTGTATCCAGAGTCCTACAAAAGCCTTTCCCAATTGAAGACAATGTCCTCGCACCAGTTGAAAGAATTGGAATTGACTTTTGAAGTGACTTTGAAGGATGCTTTGGGGAAAGTCCACACAAGAGAATTGATTGTCAATGGTGCCAGTGTATCTGTTACAAAGGAAAATGTCGACGATTATATCAGCAGGTACATGAAGTTTTTTTTGAGAGAGGGCATTCAACCGCAATTGGACCCTTTCGTTGAAGGGTTTAACACCGTGATTGCGGGAAATGCCTTGTCGTTGTTCCTGGAAGAGGAGATTGAGCTTTTGTTATGTGGGAGTGATGATCACAGAATCGATGTTGATGTGTTGCAGTCCATCACAAAGTACATTGGATGGCCAACAACGAACGATGCTGCCAACTCAAACATAATCAAATGGTTTTGGGAATACCTTGCCGTTTTGGGCAACACACAACGCAAAAAGCTTCTCGTGTTTGTGACTGGCTCGGATCGAGTTCCAGCAACAGGAATACAAAATTTGCCCTTCAAAGTGAGTCTTCTTGGACACGGTTTAGACAGTGAGAGACTCCCCATAGCACACACATGTTTCAACGAATTGGCTATCTACAACTACAGTAGTAAGGCAAAGATGATTGAAAAGCTAAACAAAGCAATCAATGAGAGCTCTGGCTTTGGTATCAAGTAGATTGTGACGACAGCTCTAACTTGGAATGTAGTTCCTTTTTGCAGTAAAAAGGTGGTGCACGCTACCTGATGATATTTAAGCCAATTAAATTCCTTGGAAAAAGTATTGAATAATAAAGTATGTACGTTCCGGCATACAAGCCTCTCTCTCTCTCTTACTCTCTCTCTTCTTGTTCTGAGTACAATTTTTTTTCTTTTTTTTTCCAATAGTCAATCGCTAAGAGAGGCCTCCATTCAAAGTGAGTTAGAAGACAATCTCGATTAATAGAATATAGTCATGTCATCACTTGCAGTGAGATCATTGAAAAATGGTTTGGGTTTGAAAGGTATGTCTAAATTGGAAAAGGGATAAAGAGATGTGATGGAGTGTGACAAGAGCAATTAAGAATGGAGCAACAGGCAATGCACTCATGGTGAGCTCATAAGGGTTTCGGGTTTTCTTGCACATCCACTTAAGGAATCAAGCGTCTCTTTGGAACTTCAACCATCATCTGTACTCGTAATACTAACATACCCTTAGGCTCAATCAGAACATTATCATCGACGTCATCACAATTGTCCAACTACCAACAACCGGACTTTTCATCCTATTTGAACAACAAGAGCCCACAAGCCAGCAGAAATTTCACCTACTTCATGGTTGGTTCCATGGGATTGTTGTCTGCCGCCGGTGCCAAATCCACTGTTGAATCTTTCCTCTCGTCATTTGCTGCTTCCGCAGATGTTTTGGCTATGGCCAAAGTCGAAGTCAAATTGGGTGCCATTCCATTGGGTAAGAACGTTATTGTAAAATGGCAAGGTAAACCAGTTTTCATTAGACACAGAACTCCTGAAGAAATTGAAGAAGCAAATGAAGTTGACGTATCTAAATTGAGGGACCCACAGAAAGATTCCGACCGTGTCAAAAAGCCAGAATGGTTGGTCATGTTGGGTATCTGTACACACTTGGGTTGTGTTCCTATTGGAGAGGCTGGTGATTTTGGTGGTTGGTTCTGTCCATGTCATGGTTCCCACTACGATATCTCAGGAAGAATAAGAAAGGGACCAGCACCATTGAACTTGGAAGTGCCAGAATACAATTTCCCTGATGACGATACCTTGACTGTTGGTTAATTTATGTATAAAATAACAATAAAAAGATCTATAACAAATTGTCAAGATGGTACTCGTACGTTTGTAGAGAAGAGAAGAGGGAACCAGTCACTTCAAAAATTATCTCTATTATATCTATAAAACAAATCTATAAAGATAAAGGACTAGCACAGGCTGTAGGAAAAATGCAATGTATCAAGGCACGAAAGCTATCATACCTCAAACACTTCAATTTTGGCATTAGCATGGTTTCTTGCTGTAACTATGCAATATTCAGCTCCAAAGGACACCCCCACATATGGTCCTTGTGCTTTATTGTACCCATTCTTGGGGTTCAATTCACATTCCAAACCGTTGCAATCTTCAGGGTTGTCGCAGACAATTTTGAGACCAAAATCGGGTGTGTGCTCTTTGAAATCATCAATATGTTTTGGGTTTACGCCAATCTTGACAAAGGTGTTACCGTTTGAGTCAGTATTCATACCGGCAACATATGGAGCCCAATTTCCCACTTCTTTGTCTGCTGTACCCCAAACGCATCCTTTCTTGGTTGAAACTCCTGGTGGGTTGATGTAATAATGAGCTGCAGTACTTGCATAATAATCTGGTCCCGGAACCGCTAAAACCTGCTCGCCGCCATGCTCCACATTTGTTGGTATTAGCATAGCTTCATTCCCAGGTAACACAGTTTGGCAGAATGCAACATCCTTGGAGGCCTTGTTGACAACCGAGACTGTTCCTTCACCATCGACACAAAGCTCCCGATCTTCGAATGGTCTACTGGTAGAACCATCGCTATTGCAATACAAACCACCGTCCATTGAAGTTGGGTACTGGTACGTCTGGGCATCTGGATTCCATTGATTCATCAACTGGCCTGGCAGACAAGCATACGGGCAATACTTTCCCGGTATACAAGCCTCATCTGGGCTCATTGCCCAACCGGCATTCACTCCATCCTCATAAACAGCGACAAGCCCCTGTTTCTTGGGAAATTTGCATTTCTTGATTGGACTTGCCAATAGCATCGTGTAAACTGAAGCTAGCACAATAAATATTGAATTTAAAAACATTGTTCAACGTTGAAGTAGATAAAGTAGACGACGAAACATACATCTTGCAAAGCGCCATGTTCATCCCTTTATATGCGCTTTAGAAAAAACCTATGAATGGTTCGATTGGAAGAGAAGAAACTGTCTTCGGTTGAGCTGTTGCATAAAATAAGTAATATGATAAGTCACTTAGTTAACAGCTACAAAGAAAAAGAAAAGAAATATGATTCGATGATATGGCATGGTTGCAAAAGAAGAGCAAAAAAAAAGAAAAAAAAAAAAAAAAAGAAAACCAATCAGATGAAAAGTGGTTTACCCACAATATGCAGAACCGCCCTGCAGAAACTTGCATTTATCGGGTCCCATGAATGCCAAGTGCGGTTCACGTGGTATTTAACAGAAAAAAGAAACTACGGCGGGCAGTTCTATGGAATGTAACGCCATTCAATTGTTTTGGTATGATTTCAAACTATCACTCAATTCGATATTTCCAGGATTTGAATGCAAAATTTTCAATTAAAAAAAAAAGCTTGATGACAAACATTATCAGTTGTTGTTGTTTACAATGTGATATGGACTCCCTTTGATCCCAACAAGTCAACTGCATATCCGTAGTAGTATCACCATTTCTAGTAAAGTAGGATATTCCAGATTTTACATCATTTTCCTAAGTGTCGCAATTCATTGTCGCGTTTGATCTGATGTCGCGTTCTGAAGCGGCACTCTATGCAGCGCTAATCATCGAGCTACGCAAGAGAGTATATCCAACGCAGAACCTCAATCTTTGGCTCCTCAAGGTTATGGCTTCAATCACTAGAGCAGCTAATTGGGACAACGTATTTGAGCAGCAATTTATTGCAATACCGCCTGCTGCCGATGAAGTTGTGTTGTACCAGACAAGTCATGAAGACTCCAACATTGAATCCAATACAATTGTCCCCATCAAGTCAATGGGTGGGTTTGACAACATCCAATGCTCTAGCTACTTAACTACCAGACCAGGAATGATTGGCGTCGGATCCATTAATGGAAATATATCGATATTTGATATCAATACATCGTCGCCGCCAGTGTTGCATTTACATCCAAAACAAACTAGACCTTGTAACACGATTTCGTTCAACAATTCGAATTTGATAGTAGCTGGATTTGATAAGGGGAGACAAGACAACTCATTACAGATTTGGGATATACATGATTATTCAAAGACTGGCGGTGGTGCAGCCAATGAGAAGACATCACATGGCTCGCTTCTGTCCTACATCCCCAACGAGGCGGTATTATCAACCGTATTCTTTTCTGAAACCAACGTTCTTTGTGGCTCCTATAAGTTCTTGAGAGAAGTTGATACTAGAGCGGACCAGCCTATTTATCAAATTGCCACAAAATGTACTTCGGGGTTGATGGTGGACCCATTCCAACCGCATTTATTCCAATCGTACAGCGAAGACGGGACCTTGTTTATCTGGGACAGAAGAAAACTTACAAGCAACAACCGAAAATCAAAATCATCCAGCAATGTGCTCGTTGAGAACCCAATACTACAATTCAACAAGCTATTGAGTGGGCCGTCATTTAGAAAGAATCTCCGTCCTTGTGTGAGATATTCAGCGGTTCGCAAAGGAGAGTTCTCAGCAATATTCAATGGTGATCTCATACGAAGATGGCATACAGGTGTTGTTCCCCCCAAAAAAGTGATCCCAAGTAAATCAGTCGAATCTGCAACCTTACAGAGTCTCGTCCAACAATCCTCTGTGTTGTACAAATCTAATGAAGAATCGTTGTTTGTGTCCATGGTTCTTGACAACAAAACAGACTATGAAAAGGTTGTGTCTTTTGACTACTCTCCAGATATTTTGTCCCGCACTTCGACAAACTTTGTATGCATGAGACAATCAGGTTCCGTATTCAGAATGCCGGTTGTTGAGTCAATTGAGGCGTTCGATTTTAATCCCTACAATGAGTTTTCAATAGCTGGTCCTGAAGGGACAACAACCAATTTCCTCACACCCGAAGATGCTTTTTTAAATATCGATAACGATGATGGCGGACGAAGACGAACTCATCATCACTCAAAGCTTGCAGATTTGTCGATTGACGAGAATTTCAGAGATGACACCTCCTCTATAACAAACGAAGATGCCAGCGTCGAGGATCAAGCCATGTTGTCAAGTGAAAAGCGCTTTTCAAACGATGAACCCAAATCTGAGCGTGATTTTGATACTTATTTGGATACCAACTCGATAAACTTGAATGACATTTGCGTTGTGATTAGAAAGCGGGCTAACATGGGCTACGGGGTTCTCCCTGATACGAACATAAAGATATTAGAGGCTTTGGATCCCAATGACAATCAACTAGCTCTAAGACATGTTTGGAAGTGGCTTAGTTTGGCGAAAAAATCGTTGGATAAGGGAACAATGATCTCAGAAGGTATCGACTTAGGGTACCAAGGTGTTCAAGGTATTTGGAACGGGGTTGACGCCTTGAATGATCAAAACCGGGTTATCTCAGCCAGAGATGAAATAACCGAAGCGTGGTTCTCACAAGCTGTAAAGTCAATTATTTCTTCCAAGGGCAAAAAGTTTGTTGGAATCAATATACCTGAGGACAGTGAGAAAAAAGTACAGCGAAAATTGTGTTTGATTGTTTCTGGTTGGTATCTAACGGGGAGCGAATTTGACGAGAAGTTGCTGCAATTGGTTGCAATGGGCATGGTGTCAAAGGCTGCTGGATGGGCAGTTTTCCATGGTAACGTGAACAAGGCAATTGAAATCTTAAGCAATTCCAAACGGGAGAGATTGCGGTTAATGGCCACAGCCATTGCTGGCTACTTGGCATACAAGAATACACACACAAACAGTCCGTGGAAGGACCAATGCCGTAAAATGGCATCAGAGTTGGATGACCCGTACTTGAGAGCAATTTTCGCATTCATTGCCGATGATGACTGGTGGGATGTCTTGGACGAACATTCTCTTCCCTTGAGAGAGCGTATTGGAGTTGCAGTTCGATTTCTACCAGATAGAGACTTGACTGTTTATTTGAATAGAATTGGTGATTCAGTTGTTCAAAGGGGAGAGCTTGAGGGATTGATCTTGACGGGAATCACACCAAGGGGAATAGATTTATTGCAAAGTTTTGTTGACAGAACCAGTGACGTTCAAACTGCAGCATTGCTTTCAGCGTTTGCGTGTCCAAGATATTTCGCGGATGTTAGAGTCAGACATTGGATCGATTGTTACAGGAACCTTTTGAACAGCTGGGGCATGTTCAACGTCAGGGCGAAACTAGATGTGTCTCGGACAAAGTTGTCAAAGGCATTTGATGGGGAAAAGAGAATCAAGGCATCACCTAAGCAGGTGTATCTTCAATGCAGTCGTTGCAATAAGAATATGTCCAAAGCACATTACAATGCGAACAGCCAAAACTTGATGAAGCAGTTTTCCAAGTCAGGGATGAAAAAGAATAGTTTGTTGAATTCGTGTCCTCATTGTGGTGCACCTCTACCTAGATGCTCGATATGTATGTTGTCGCTTGGGACAGAAGCTCCATCAGATAATGAAACATTGGGCTCAAGAAATGAAGAGATTGACAATAAATTCAGGAACTGGTTCAGCTTTTGTTTGAGTTGCAACCACTGCTACCATGCCCATCATGCTGAAGAATGGTTTTCCACCCATGGTATCTGTCCAGTGCCTGATTGTGATTGTCAGTGTAACAGTAAGTAAAAAGGTGTATATGTTCCTCTACTAAAAGAAAACAAACAATACCAGATTTCCATCAAGACAGGCGGTTCATGAATGTTGAAAATAAATTAAATATACTTCCACAGCTACCATCTAGGTTACAATAGGTAGCACATTCACAACACAAGCGAAGAATTCTTTTTTTTTTTTTTTTTTTTTTTTTTTTTTTTTTTTTTTTTTTTTTTTTT